ATTTCTGCCAATAAATGTTACACAATGGACCTTTAACACACAGCATTAAAATTGTTGTTACCTAATGCCATGGGATGACTCACACACACACACACACACACACACCTTGCCTGAGCTCTTCACTCTAATAACAAAAGGCTAAATACCAAGCTAACACACACACACAATCACAACATGTCCCTCATTCACTAGCAGGGAACATCTGGCTTCCATTCACTTCTAATGGGAACCTGTGGATTTGTCAAATATAGAAGGCTGTTAGTGCTCTGCTTTGTTCTCCAATACAAGACAATGAGACACACTAATGTTTTACGGACAAAGGCCCACTCACATTAGTGCTCACAGCCCATATTCATGATTTGTATTTATCTACTACACTGTATTCATTACACGCTAAAACAAAGGAGTGTGTTTTTCACCGGTTCTGTCCCCCATTTTGACCCCACTGATGAAACAGGTGATAGCAATTCAATCATTTGTGGCGCCCCAAATACCTGCTAACAATTACCAGAAATTATGTGAGGGGGAGGGAGACCAGATTAGGTTTTCCTTTCACAGGTTCCACACAGGACACAACGACATGAGTGACGGATAACTGACTTTCCAAGCACACCAGCTGTTTTCTGTGTCCTTGTAATAAAGGAGGAGCAGACAAAGACAATAGAAGAGCTTCATTAGGTCCATTAATGAAGACATCTGTTTTTCAAAACAGCCCTGGCATCCCATCTTCTCTCCTACACAAAGACCTTCTGCTGGGCAAAATAGCTCCCATAAGGACAGACAATTAACACCTTATGCCAGAAAAGGGGAAAAAAAACGCATTCACACAAGTTCCACTTTCATAATATGGATCCACACCGTTTTGATTTTAGTCTTATGAGCATCACACATTGGCAAGGTTGTCTGTGGATCCATTTTCCAGACATTCATTATATCCATTCCCCTGTGGCTTCATGCTGCTCTCACCGTCTTTCTCTCTGTATTGAACATCCCTCTTTCTTCATCACCTCTCTTTCACCTATCTTCCTCTAAGTGGGGCATTATATCTCTTTCCATATTCCCTTGCTCCTCTCTTGCCCTACTCTACTTCCATCATATCTCCGCCCCGTCTCTCACATTGGACGGCAAGAGGGAATCACGAACGACTTGCCTTTTCATTAATGTCAGTGAAGGTTCACGCTGAAGGAGAAAAAAAGCAGCGAGTGATGGGAAGGGGAGAGGTAAGGGGCGAGAGAGGAAATGTGACAAAGAGAAAAAAGAAGCAAGAGTGAAAGAGAGAGAGTCCTTCCACTGTGCCAGTAAATTGACGAAGAGGCTGGCCAGATGCCCTCAGGGCCTGCTTAGAGCAACAGAGAGCAGCATCACGCCAGAAATGGAAATCTAATTTTTTTTTCTCTCTCACGTATGTCTATACACACACAACCATACATTTTAGGTCTCCTACGGGGACAGACACACACGCACTGAAGAGCCCAGGAAACCTTGTCCTGTCCTCTCAGAGCACATGTATCTAGACAACCAGACACAACACATGCACACGCCGGCCATCTCTCAAGGTGTCTCTGCAAGCTTTACTAAACTGAACTTTTCTGTATGCATTAACACCTTAAAGTACCCTTCAGCATCCAGGTAACAGTGCTGACTAGATAAAGCAATCTAATGCTCCAGATGGATGACGTTAAATTAATGCTTTCCCTTCTCTTTTAATAATAAGTTGCGAAATGTTACACATTCCTCAGTTTTGCTTCTCAATTGCTTGATTGATGAAAAATAGTCTACAGCCATGCTAGAGGCTCTGTGAGGTTACTAAGGAACGGTGGTACTTTAAGTTAAATGCTAGCAATGCCAATAGCCTACTAACAGGCTGATGTTTAGCAGGTTAAAGCATGTTCAGTCTCTTAGTTTAGCATGCTAACATTTGCCAATTAGTCCCAAACACAAACTTCAAACAAGCTGAAGGGATCACCAGCATTATCACAGTTCATCCCGAGGGAAACAGGGGTATACTACTAAGAGTGTATGACCGATATCATTGTTGTATGGTCTGGATCAGGTTAAACCCACTGTCAATGTCAGAGTAGGGTCCCGTTTTTGCAGAAAATAAATTACGTGGGTAATAAATATTTTAGGTAGTATTGGAGGAATTTCTGATACTGCTGTCGGTATTGGAACAACTATAGTACAAACATTTAATGGCAATGTATCCAATAGTTGTTGAGATACCGACCGTCCAGCTGCCACTGCCATCCTTATTCCTATCCCCATGCTGCTAGCATGGCTATAAACAATGACTTAGGCTATATGGACAGTTCAAGAAAACTACAAATATCTCAAATGCATATGAATTGAATATATGTCTTCTGTAACAGCCATTTGTTTGGAATAATGATTTCAAAAGTATTCCCAAAAAAGTATAATAAATAATAATGTATATCAAATACATTGCCACAGGAAAGGAAAATAAACTAAAGGATCACACAGATACCTAATTAAGCATCTTATTGTGCTGCAAAGAGTTTATTTGAACGGATATAGGAAACCTAAAAAAACCCAACATCTTTTCTGCCACCCTCTTGCGTTTAGGATGCACACATTCGTATTCGAGAGCTGCCTTGCACAGCACCCTGTCTTTTGCTGCTGCCTAATGAGCAGCTGCACTGGAACAAGTGGAGGATAAGTGCTTTGCTCAATGGCACCATAATAGTAATTGCTAGGGGTGGCAATATTATTCATTCACCTTCCCCATCCAGATTTCCAGCTGATTTGCGGTTCTCTCATCATGTGCCCACTCTTCCACCTTTCGACGATCATCATCTGCATCTAATGGCTCAAAGCTCCTGTGCTGGACTATAGAACTTAAAACATGAAATACCTGAAACACCCATTCATCTGTTCGTTAGGGGTGGCCATCAGAGAGCTAATGAGATTGTGCCTGTCATTAGCTCCCTAATTGCTGCTGAATGGCTGCAGGGCCAATCCCTCACTGCTGGACTATCTATTGACTATCTATATATTCCTATTCCAGGAATTAATGACTGCTGTAATTTGAGCTGGATGGTGGTGACTGGTGACAGCTTTCTAACACTGTAATTAAAACCCACCGGACTGATAGGGGCCTGTCACGCCCAACCCCTCAGGCACTGCCAGGCTCACCCTCACACAGCTGGCTAAAGTGGACTAGTCCACATGCAATGGAAAATGACTAAATGCTTTAGAGGCAAGCTTATTTTTGAAACTATTCGAAAAATAGCATTCACCCTGGCGATTACATTTAAGCGTGGAGCTGTGAAAATCATAATTAGAGAGATTCTGTTCAGAATGGTTGCATAAATCCACTATATGTGACAGTATTAGACACATTTGTGCCAACATACACACAACCTCTTCTCACCACTGAATTAGGTGCCTGATAATCAGAGCTTGAGAATCCACACGTGTGCGTATGTGCATGCGCCTGTGGGAAGGTGATGATGAGGGGCTGCTGGCAGATTGTGATGCCCCCCTTTGCCCCCTGTAGCGGGTTATCTGAGTGAGTGTGTCACAACCGCAGGGAGGGAGGGCTGTGGGGACAGCCCTGTCACTGCTGCTGCGTTGGTGTATATATGTGTGAGAGAGTATGCCTGTGTTAGCAGGATGACTGATTGCACCCTACCACAATGGCCCTGACTCCCCCTCCTCTCCCTTCGCCTCACCTCGCCACAGCCCCCGACCATTAATTTTCCTCAACGCCCCTCCCCTCTGAAGCACTGGGCCTCCACAAACATCCATTGAGCTGCCACAAAACATACCCTAACCTTGGAAGTCCCTTTCCATTCCTGGAATGATAGAACCTCTCTATCCATTTTCTCTATCCGTCCATCCCTCTCTCTCATACGTCCTCATCTCTCTTTTTCCCTCTTTCCATCTTCTCTTTTCTGCTCCATCCTCGTCCTCCCCATCTCTCCCCTCCCTCGCATGTGGGCCGTGCCTAGCAATGCTGAGTGGGTCTGGGAATATGGATTAAATGTGAGAATGGAAAATACTGTTTGTGTGTTTACACTTCAGTGCTTTGGTCTGCTCAGAAAGACAGCACGCCAGCTCAGAGTGCTGACTCCAAATGGAAAAAACAAGGGGTCAGACAACTCGAGCCTCACAAGCGTTTTCCTCCGCTGCATTCTCTAATGGTGCTGTAAGCGCTCCTCTGCAGGAGTGCATACTGTATGTGGCACAAGGAGAGGAAGAAAACGACAGATAAAGCAGAAATGGGTGCTAAGTAGGTGAGAGGTGATATTGGCTTTTAAATTAACTGTCGTGCACCTCCTTTTGAAATCATCTCCACTCTCACATAAGTTACGGTGTCTCTTTGCTACTCCTCTGGTTAATGTGATTTGAGCATGAATACGGTGTGAATGGATATGTCTGTATGTGTGTCTGTTCAGACAATGGTGTGCTGACCATGACTCTCTTATTAGCACTGGATCAGTCATGCACATGTAGGCATGTAATTAACTGAGGAGAAAAGGGGGGAGGGGGGGGCACACAAGACGGGAAGAGGGGAGGAGAGCGGGAATAGAGGGGAGTGCATATGAGGCAAGGTTGATTTATTATCCCATCACCTTGACCTCTGTGACTTGGAGATGCAGCTCAATTAAGGCAACTTGGCCCGGCATGCCTTACACTGATCCACTCCTAAATGACTTATCAGTCTGGTTCTGCTCCTCTTTCCCTCTCTGTCTCTCTTACGTCTGCTTCACTCTCTCCCTCCAATTATATTCAATAGATGGAACATAATGGGATAAGATGTGACATGTGCTGTCAGTGCAACTTTGAAAAATAATAATCATGTACTATGCCAATTATTTAAAAACTACTGCAGATAATATGATGATTATTGAAGAAAATTAACCTGTTTGTTCCTCTGCTAACCTTCTCATCATGACATCTACTATATCTCTCTCATGCACACGCACGCACGCGCGTGCACACGCACACCATCAATTCTAATGATCATCTCAGAGGCTGCTGTAACTGTCTGACATATGTGTGAGGGAGAAGAAAGAAAGAAATCAATAGTTACCAGAAGGTGTTTAAATGTAGTAAAAGAGAGAGAAAGATATGTGTCATTTGAGCTGACACAGTGAAGGTCACAGCACTCTCCAGATTCTGTAAGAAAGGCTTTGGAGATGGGGGGCAGACACTACATTAAAGGTCAGGACAGTAAGATGAGTATTTCACCATGTAGTATCAGCAGCAGGGCTCTCTGTGTGCTCCTGGGAGGGCTTTGGCCTTTGAAACAGCCTTTTTAGAGCATGGTCTTAACCGTTTTCACTAATTCCATTGAATGATTTCTCTTTCTAAAAAAAAGGCCTATTTTGTGAGATACCTTTTTGGTTTTTGTTTGACACCCTGAGGCTCTCAGAGCTCTCATCTGTATAGTAGGTGATAGGGATCCATGGTCATGACACTTCAATACAATGGATGTGTGCCAATGTGTGGGCTTTAAACTGGGTGTTCAGTTAAAATACTTTTCCTGCACACTGGCTAGCCAACTGAAATGTCAAAACCTCAATTTTTGCTAAAAGAGAAACTGAGTATTGATTGAGCTCGGCAGCTGGAAGCCAGAAGAATCAACAAAGTATGATAAGAGGTGTAGAAGTCAATTAATTAACATTAGTTAATGTTTTTTATAACAGTTATAAAATTCATGATTTAAAGTACAAAATATAACAGCTGAAATTACAAGATGTTACAATAAATGTAATAATATTGTAAAAATTTAACACCTTTGCAGTCGGTACATTCAACCAAACAAAAACAAAAAACTCAAAGTTTAAAAAAAAAAAAGAAGAAATCTCTATATGATAATTTCCCCAGGAGAGTTAGTTTTTTTCCCCTCTCCTTTAACAGGTGTAGACCTCTTATCATACTTGGGTGATTCACAGCCTATTTAAACTAGTAACATATATGTAAAGCCATTTTAACAGAAAATGACGCATGATTGCTGCAGCTCCATAGCCTAAACCCTAACTTGAGTTTCCTGTTGTTTTTTTTTCAGTTTGAAAATTATAAGCACAGACCAGTGACAATCCAGTTTATGGAGTATTCATCTAAACAGGTGTAGAAAGAGTTCACAGCAGGAGAGTTTATCAATCATATATGATTTGTAGATAGCCTGACAGAGCCCATCCTCCACTCTTATAACTCCAGTTACCTGCAAAAGCTTTGGAGATGTTATCCTTTTTCCATTCCCAGGGTTGGTCATACTCATCAGCTGGTCTCTCATCATCTTGTGGCAGCCTGCTGCTCTCCTTGCCCTCCTCCTGAGGTTCTCCATACATCAGACCCAGGCGCTGGCCTCTCTCATCTTCGTAGGGGGTGTCGTAGAGCTGCACTCCGCCCCGCGGCCGTCCTCCTCCTGGGCCACGCTGCAGCTCTGTTGATGCATACGCAAAAACAAAACAAATTCATAAACACACAAATGCAGATTTTTTTTATTTAAAACATGTTTAACCAGTCTGCAAGAAAAAACGGCAACGTTAAGAAATAATGTTTGCCAGTAGCGATGAGGTTCCCCTAAACACAACACTAATATTATTCTGTACTACAAAGTAAATCAAAAAGCCTGTTGAGCTCTGACATGACTAGAATTAGAGGAGGGAGACAAATGATGTTTGCACAGCTTGCCGTGGGCTCAGAATCTCATATAGGGGGGCTTAACGAGGCCTTGGGCTAGATGCTGAGTAGCAACACTGTAGACAAACCAGCCCCCCTTCTCTTGTCCATCCTGAATCCCAGCAGCAATCTAACACAGCTCACAACAGCATCCATGTTGCCTTGTTAACATTTTCATCACTTTCCCAGTGGGTTCCAACCACGAAATGTTTCTCAGCACCTGCAATTGTTATGTGGCGTCAAATATGGCCGTGAGATAAAAGGCTTTAAGATTATTGATGCAAGCAAGAGGGTGAAATCTGATTTCTTAATGCATCAATAGAAGACTCTAAGCTGCAGCAGCAGAAATCAGAAATGCTGCTTTCATATATTGACCTCAAAAATGTACTCTTTAAAAAAAAAAAAAAAAAACAGGTGGTACAGAAGATGAGAAAATGGGGGAAAAAATGATAGAGTAGGCATCTTTTGTGTACACAGCCAGCAGCCTTGCAAAGGAGGTGCACTCACGTGAGAAGGGAACAGGACTAAATGGAAGGGTTCGCTGGTGAGAGGCAGGAAAAAACTTTAACCTTCACACGACAAGACACCACTATTGGGCGGCCCTTTAGTCACCATGGCGACCAAGTGGGGGCCCTGGGGAAAGGCCCTGAGGTTATGAAGAAGAGGGTGGAGGGGAAATGTAGAGAGAGGATGAGCAAGGCCACGGGAGGAGGGAAAGAGGAGGTGGTGGGGCGAGGAGCAGGAGGAGAAGGAAGAGGAAAAGGAAGCAGTAAGGAAACAAGGGGAGGAGTGGGGTGATGGAAACGAAGGACAAGGGAGGGAGGTAAGGGGAGGGAAGGGGGTGGAGGTTGGGGGGGTTCTGTCAGCGTTTGATGTTAAGTCATTGAGACAGAAGCACAGCGGGACTGAATGCTGCTCTACCTGCGCTGGGAACCCGCAGTGTCAGCGGCAGCCTGGAGATGGAGAAGATGAAGGCGGAGAGATAAAAACATGCATACAGGAAATAAAATGAGAAATTCATAGGAAACATGATGGTGGAAAACACAAGCAGTGGGGGAAAGAAAATAGCAATTTGACAGAAAGGTGACAGAGATTAAAGATGGAGGGAAATGACGACGGGAGGACCAAGGAGTCTTTAGGCATACAGATGGATGTAGGAGCTGGAAATCAGTCTTTTATCCTCATAAAATAAACTATGAAGATGATTTTCCCCTAAAAGTACAGTCTACAGCACACAGGTGTCTTTTCAGGTCAGTCTTTGTGAGAGATAATTACTATTCCGATCTCACATCTGTCTTTTGCCGCTCTGCTGTGTTTTTTAATGAGCAACAACGGAGTAAGAGACAGACAGACAAAAGCAGGCTGACAGACAGCCAGCCTTGGAGTGACAGGCGCAATTCAAAGTCATTGAAAGAGCAGTGACAATGCTTTGCCAAATGCTCTGCCATCACCACTAAAAATCTAATCTCTACAATGGCTTTATCCAGCTGCAGCGAGAAAGGTTTTCTCAGTTGAGCAGAGGAAGGGAGGCTCCATTCACTTTAAGCCACAAATTATGAACTTCATTTGACAACCAAAAAGGCAGCGCAAGTGACAACGGCGAGAGGACAGGACATACAGATCGCTAAAGGACAGATTAGAGGGACAGCCAGACTCCCTTCAGGGCCGGGGAGAGCCCTCGAGATGAAGAGAGATAGAGATCGAGAGAGAGGAGGGGGTAGGCTTTTACACTAAATGACTGGGACAGACCAGGGAGACAGCGGGGGGAAAGAGGCAGACAGAGATGTTATAGGAGGAGAGACAAATGTAAAACGATAGATGTGAGCTAGATGATGTGGGAGAAAATCACAAGGGAGGTGGGAGGGTCTGAGACTGGATAGACATCTTTAAAAGGGACATTTCGTGAGGCTAAGAGCCGACTCAGCCTGCGATAAACTAAAAACACAGTGGAGTGGACAGTTACAACACTCTAGTGTAGAACTGTCTAACAAATGGAGCCATTAAACTGGAATTACTGAGCAATGCTGCGTTTAACAGCAGAGTTTCAGAACATAGAAAATATGGAAATGAATGATATATTATTCTATGAAAGGCAGAAATACTTCACTATAAAGAAAAAGACGAGTGATAGAGAATGATAAAGTTATTGATCATCTCTGTGTTGTTCAAGGAAATTGCTGACAGATTTCAGATCAATGATGATATTACTTCATGCCAGTTACATATTTTATTCATGATTTGGTGCACCTGAAATGCAATAAAATATGTGATCTTTATGTTAGGTAAGAGGTCTAAATTTAACCCTTCATGATCTCTCATATTATGGAAGCAATTCTGATTCATTATTTGCATGGATGCATGGGTTTACATTACGTGGAGCTAACAAAAAATTAAGTTAATATAAAAAGGAAGCAGTAAAAGCAAGAGGAATGAAACCTAAAGACCATGCCTCCATGATACCAATGTTGCTCACTGAAACACTTTAATACTGATAAAATACTGACTGATGAGCAATATCCACTGACCTGTTATGACCCTCTGGGCCTCATACGGTTCCATGTAGCTGTTGTTCTCGCAGGGAACAGGTCCGAGATCTGGTTCTGGCCTGTGGTCCAAGCGAGCATCGAATGGGTCAGAATAATCTGTTTCGCCTGCCAAGGGCGCAGACGGTACCACCTAAAGGACGAAACACAAAGAAAAATAGGGTTTTGCTACAGGACATTAACTTGCTCCCCTTGGAGAAAAATGTCTGACTTCATAAGATTTATATACCAATTGTTAAATGTTTTTCACTTGTAGGCACATGTGCAAAAAGATCATAAGCTATAATTAGTTTGACTTTCATCCAGCGTGTTCAAATCAGCATTTTGTAAAAGCGTCAAATCACACTTTGGAATGAAACACTTGAATTAAAGCATCCTAGGATCTGAATGTTTTCTGGTAATTAGGAGATTTCAGTCTGTAATACGTGTATAAGTGCTAAAAAGGAAGGAGTGTTGCACAGACAATAGCTCATCAAGACCAGGGATGGAGAGAGGATTGCAACACTCTTAGAAAGACATTTCATCCTCACTGAATGGGACATTAAATATATGTTTGGTTACAGACAAAAAGCTTGTGGAGTATCATCATCAAGACAGTAATTTGCACCTTTAGTGTGAAACATCACAGCACCACACCAATGCTATGCATATTTAGTAGCTACACAATACAGTTCTCTCTCAAAACCTTTAAAGAGAGAACTACTTTTACCGGTATATGCAATACAGCTACAAATCATCCTGTCTGAGGATGATGTGTTTTGTAGCTTTAGGAGAGAGCACAGAGAGTAAAGAGGGAGCAGGTTAGTGGTCGGGAGCATTTGTTCCTTCATGCAAGCACAGGAGGAAAACAGTGGTCAGCTGGCACAATGACAGCTACAAAGGCAGCCATATGGTCACACACGGGCACGCACACACATAAACATGTACACATACCTAAAAACACACACACCCTTTGGCAATGTGCTCTCTTCCCATGTCTCTCTCTGACAAAGGAAACCGCTGTAGCAAGGCTCACTTCCTAAAATCCTGCTAAACATGCACACGCCCTCACAAAATTACATCCTAATCCCATGTTGATTCAGTAACAGGTTACCTATCGATGCACAGGAATCTGCAATGTTAATTAGCGTGCGGATGTTCCCACAGACCCTGGGAAATTAATGAGAGCAGGAGGAGAGTGGGGTAGAGAGGGGCAGCTATCGACTTGAGTTAAGACTATTACTTCAATCCACTTCAGGAATTTCGCACTTGTAGCATTTTCCATGAGCGGAGTCATGGATTTAACTGCGGCGATGAAAACCCTGAAATACTCCTTAACTTACTCAGCATATGTGAGCTGAATTAATGCGAAGACCGTCTCCTTGTTAAACCTTTGCCTCTGCTCCAGTCTCTGACAGACATCTGTTTGCCTTTTTTTCTTCTCAGTAGCTGTGCATGTTTTCTACAGCACAACATGCACAGTAGTAGGATATATAGCCGGTAGAGCACTGCAGTCCTGATGACAGCAACAGCACCACAGTATAAATTATACCTCCCTGTGGCCCTTGGCATATCACCACGCGGCACACTGTATACGGCCCCTAACATGTTCTCATGCGGGGGTCTCTCTCAGCTTGCAAAACCAAACCCCATTTATTATTTATGGAAGGACATAAACTCAAGGGACTGTGACCCCCTCTTCGACTCAACGGTCCGCTCAAGCCATCAATAATTCTTTCTTCCATCTCGGGTAGTGAAATTTATGTGGCGCATGGGATGTAATGTGATTTATGTAAACAATGCATATTTGTGACACACATTACCAGTCACTTGCTTATGGAGTCTGATCAATAAAGCTGTCGCAGTAATGGAAATGGAATGAGAGAGAAGAAGTTTTTCATTCTTCCCTACTTACTTGCCTTCCCTCCATCCCTCCTTCACACTTCTTTCCTCCACTTCACAAGACAGAAACCACATAAAAAAATGTTATCACCTGCTTTTTAACACAGACTGTACAAACACATGCTGAAAAAGCTCTTACAGGCTCTTGCTGGTCCTCTAAAGAGATGGCACTGAGGAGGATCTTGGTGCGCCCCAGCTCCTGGGAGTCCACTTTGATCAGTCTGTGTTTGGGAGATTTCATGTCCACAGTAGATGACTTCATGGGAGACCCGTAGACAGGTGTTGAGGGGTCAGAAGCCCCAGACTCGCCCCGGGACCTGTTTTCGGAGTCCTCGTAGGGATCCTCAAAGTCCAGGTCCCTCTGGAGCCGGTAGGCTTTGAGGATCTCGCTCTCTGTGTAGTCTGGTGTGGGCGGCTGTGGAGGCACCTTCCTGCTGCCCAAGCTCAGGTAGTCTTTCAGCCACTTGGCCATGGCAGCTCTGCTTCCAAACGAGCCGGTTTGTGTGGTGGAGTGAGAGCAGGAGGCTGTAGGGGGCAGACAGAGACAGACATGGGGGTTATAGCTTGACCTTGTTTCTTTTCTGGTGAGACTGTGTCATGGATTGGATTTGCGCTGTGCGTTTGTGTGTTCATTTGATCTTTACAAGACAATCGAAAGATTAAAAAAAACAATGTAGCTCTTTTTCTGTTCCAAAAACAATATTAATACACAGGTCCTGATCCTCTTATAATATTTGTGCCGGACTACTTTCTCCTGATCACAGACCCAGAATATCAGTGTGCGTTTGTATACACTCTTGTGACATTAAACTACACCAACAGCTGGGCTTTACGCACTTCTTTTGTTTTACGCAGGGAGCAATAACGTCTGGCATCTGGACTTTGCCCAAAGGCTGCAATTACATTGCACACCCCTGCAATAAAGTCCGACGTTAACATGCTGATAAAAAAAGGAAGACAAAGGCTGTAAGAGAATATGAACGCAAGGAGGAATCAAACTTGTAATAAATAACGTTGTTTTTTTTTCGCTTTAGTTTAGGCACAGACTTATTTGTAAAGCTGTAAACGCAAGCTAAAAATAAGATCATTTTTCCTGGACTTCCACTCAAAACAGTCAAACAGTGGATTTAAATAGCACCAAGCGCTGCGCTGGCAAGGCACACTCACTTACCAACCCTATTCAGTCCTTCAGCCACTTTGGATGCTTTATTTCGCGTTTCTTCATTTCGATCACAATAAATCGACACAGACAGGTGACAATCTCCTCCACCAAAAAAAAAAAATCAGAAGAAATTAAAGAAAAAACTAAAAAAAGAGTAGCTTCTCTGGAACAACACAGGAGCACTGAAATCCGCCTGAGTTCCTCTAACGACTGACGGCAAATGTGCGAGTGAAGAGAGCGACTACAGCTCCGAGACAAACTCAACCGAGCGATTAAAGGGGAGGTGCTTCACTCCCAGTGGAATACTATCCTCCTATTCCCTTTCGGAGTCAGCCGACCGTTCATTCATTGAAATATCTGCACATCATACCGGCTGCAACAAGAGACACATCCTCTTTCAAAAGCACAATAACTGCATGGGGGAAACAGATGAAGAATAGTATCTGGCGGGTTAAATAAAAAAATAAAATAAAAAAACTGCTCGCACGAATGTGCTCCAGAGATGTGCATTATTTATTCGCATGACATCACTGGAGAGTTTTCCTGTTTTAGCTTCACTGAAGGTTTTTGAATTTATTTAGCAGGTTTCCTTAGAAGAACTACAAAAGCCTGAAGGGTGAACAAAACTGTTATCTGCATCCTCATTTAAGGGGTTTGGTGTGATAGGGGAATCCCATCATCCTCTGGGCGATGGTGAACAGTCTTTTAGTGAAGTTTAGACAGAAGTGTAGACACAATAACATGTTAACAAAAGCACTGAGGCTTGTCTACTCTGACTGAAAAATAAGGCAATTTGTTGAGCGTGTGTTTCATCCCTTTTATTTGATCCTTTTCGCCCTCTCCACTCACAGATGTCCCATTATCCAAGGTCCAGGCGGGTAAATGGAATTGTGTGCTACGGTGGGTAAGGCCATCTAAGTCTGTTAAAAGACCGTAAATGCCTCTTTCTTTACGACACTCATGAGCTCACTTTCTCCCAGGGGCAGTAGACTGGATGAGGTCATTGAGCTAGAATCCACCCCCACTACCGCTATCACCACAACCATCAACATTATCCCATCAAGACCTTCACATCTTCCTCCTCCTCCTCCTCCTCCTCCTGGCTGCATAGTCTGTCTGCTCCAGTGTTCACCAAACGTCAGACCTAAAGGAGGGTCATGGGGATCATAAATAAGTCCCAAAGTGTTTGTGAGGGAAATCTGAAGTCACTGAGTGGGATGATTGCAAACATCTTGCAGGTCCCTGCAGTCCGATTTAAATCAGTTACAGAGGTGAAGGACAGGATCAATTTCATGACATCAGCCAATACAAAGGGCCTGTCAAGATGTTCTCTGTGGAAAATAAGTTCTCCAGGGTTGAACACCTGTTTAATGTCTTACTGTTCTAGTCCTCCCCCAAAAGATTGTTTTTTAAATGTTAACAGATCAAGATTGTAGGAACAAAATACAGTGGGAACAAGATTCATATATTGTAACAACCTGTCATTATTATGTGGGAACAGGATCAATATGTTGTGCTAAAGGTCTTCTGGGAATAGATCCATTCATTCAATACGTTGATACAGATCTTGTTGGCACAACATAGGATCTTGATACAAGATAGATTGTTTGCACATGTTGTTCTCCTAAGATAACTCCTTCACACAAGTTAAAATCTTTTTCCTCTGATCTTAAAGATATCCCGTCTTTTGGTTCTTCAGGGATCTTTCCTCTATCTTTCTGTACTCCCCATCTTCCTCTGCCCTTTCTCTGCCATTCTTTCCTATCTTTGCATTTTTATCTCTTGTCAGATCTCTGCACGTAACAATAATCTTCCTTCTCTTCCCCCTCCTCTAACACCTCCTCTAACCCCCCTACAACCCAGTAACATATTGAGCATACATTAAATTTGTGTTTCCATCCTGGATGGGCTGAGAGCCAGAACTGTGTGGAAGAAAAGATTGAAACTGAGAAAGAGATGGAAAATCAGAGACAGGCAAGCTGTCACACTCGGCAAGGGGAAGACACATGGAGAGCACAGGGGAGAGAAAAACAGAAATGGAAAATCAGGATCTCTCACAGTGAGAGACAATCTCAAACAGACAGACAGACAGACAGACAAAAAGTCATTGTGGTTTTTTCATGCAAACACTGTTGCATAGGAGCCAAATATTTAATTGAATCAAACAGAAACAACACGGCGCTGTGGAATGTTTGAGAATTAATAAGACTCCCTCATTATAAAGGGCTAAATATGGATGTGACATTTTCTCTGAACTTCACGCTTTGGGTTGTTGCTCTTTCCCAGTTGAACAGCATCACTTATGAATCTGAAAGGTACACAAACAGGCTGTAAAGCACCAGCGGCTGTACACATTCATGTGCAACCTGACATCGACAAAGGTTCTCTTTCAAAGCCATGAATGTAATCTGAATATAATGAGTCTTTCGGTTGAATTTAGGGGCCGGAGAAGAAGCCACACAGAATTGTAATGTGGGAATAATTGATTTCCATAGTTTCCTCTGCTTTGCATTTACTGCCCTCATTTGGTGGCTCGTGTGTATTGCACGCATCATTTAGAAATAACAGAGCCAGGGTCTCATGTAACTTCATAGTTTGTGAAAATAAAAATAGCCTGTTAATATCCCACAACCGGGCAACGTAGATGGACATTAAAAAACAGAAGCATTAATGCCAGGACCTCAGTGAAATGTCAGTTTAATAAAGTATATAAGTTCAATAGCACCTAAAATAGCAGAGGAATATTTAGGATAGCCCTGCACCTAGCTTTTTTTGTTTTTTTTGACTCACTCTCTCTCTTTCATTACAGTACAAAAGTGTTAACTTCCGGTGTCAGCTCTTCCGGTGTTGCCATTGGTTGAATTCACTTTTAGGTTTCAGTGATTGGCTGATTAAAATGTCCAAAATGAGGAACTTTCCCAACAACCCCCATGATGAATTGTGAGCTCGAGGTGCAGCTGAAACGGGGAGCACGGACAAAAGATGAAGAGTCGTACATGACTGAACGCTACTCTACAGTTCCCATCAGCCTGTTCAACACTAACTAACAGCTCTGCACTTCGACAGTCAGGCTATATCATCCATCATCGCCAATCAAACGCTGATCCGGCGTTTTGCGCATTGCTGATTGGTTGATTTACGATAGGGGCGGGTACACTCCTGCTGTCCGCCAGACTGCAGTGACTTCACAGTTCAGCTGATGGGACAGAGGGAACGCTCACCTGGACCAGTGCTGTCCGCCACAGGTAGGCTGCATGTCTCTGCAGGTCACTTTCTAGTTGTGTGCTCACTGCATTAGGTTTATGTTAGCCTGGTGTTGGTACATTCCTTATGTATTCCTGACATTTTGGTACATCCACGTGTTGCCATGTTGCTGGGACCACTGCTGATGATCTAGTCATCATGGGTAAATAAGTTAGAACCCCTTGAAGACACACAGAATAAGCTGAAACTTACAATAACACTCAAGTTTGTTCCTTTACCGTGTTCACTGCAGTGTTCCTGCTGAGACAGAGGCCATCAAACCATCATGAAGAGTCTGAAGGCAAAGTTTAAAAAGAATGAGGTAAGAGCCATCTGTTGAAGGGCATGTGTAGCTTTACAGGTGGGAGTACTTGAAAAGTAGTACACCTGTTTGCTATTCCTACAAGCTATTTAGAGATTTGAGCTCTACAAGCAGCGTTTGAACCTACTATTACAGTTGTACTAGTAATAGAACTAGTGTTCTACATTAAGTAGCCATTTATATAGGTCCCAGGTTGCTCCTGTGTGTGTGTGTGTGTACGGGGGCACTGGGATTCAGTGTCACTGAGCAGCAGCAGGAGAGCAGGGCTGTCTCCAGACTGCTGCTATAACCAGAGATCTCAGGTAGCCTTCAATTATTCACACGTACGTGCACACACACACACACTCTCAAATAATCCCTACTTTCCTGCTGTCATCCCAGTGCTACTCTGAAGGGCTATGTAATGTGGGGGTTAACCTTGTATTGTATTTTTAAAATGTTTACGTTTTTGCCAGCTCCATGTCGCTAATTGCTTATTTACATACTGGGGCCAGTGATCTTGCACCCTCGCAGCACTGGGGCACTGGTGCAAGCAGATAAAGTGGCTCAGTGTGGTCTGAGCATTTAGTTCCTGATGATGCTTTTAGCACCACCTCTTAGTGTCCCTCGCTTTGAGGAGAAATTCTACCTCTACCCTATTACTGGTGACAAGGATGATCTTCTGTCTTATATTATTATTGTTATTATAGTCCAACTGTCAGATGGGCTGATGGCATGGATGCATGCTAAATATCCTACATACACACATCTTCCCCACATACATAAACCTCTCCATAGCCCTAAGAGACTATTTGCTTGTTTGTGAGCCTCTGTCCCCTCTGTCCCGTAAATGATCATCCAAACCAGCAGAACAGAGCCAGCACCTCTTTCTGCTGAGTCCTCACATCTCACAGGCCCTGCTCTGTAACTGCAGAGAAACAGATCTACAGTATGACGCTGCCAGGAGGGGGTACCGTGCAGGACCTGACAAAAAAAAAAACTAATGGAGAGAAGGAGGAAGCCTGCTACAGAAAATTATTAGGTTAGAGAAAGGAGGACAGTAAGGAAAGGAAGGAGGTGGCGGCGTGAGAGATGCAGAGACTAGACTGGCTATGTCCCTGCAAGCAGCCGAGGCAGAGTGATGGGATAGCGTTTTGGATGCGGACAGGGAGCACTGCACAGGGAGACGTTGTTGTGAGGACAGCAAATAGCAGTGATACTGTGTGTGTGTCAGAGTTTTTGTGTTGTGAGCTATTTAGCTTCGTTGGATGTATGATTTTGTGGATAGCATACATTCTCTGGTATGTAGGTCTCTACTGTGACGATGCTGTGACCTCTAAAGGTTATCTGGTATAAACTTATGGGTAGCAGAGTTCCCTACAGTATCTGATGTAAATGTGTAGATTTGTTATGTAGCCAGACGGCAGTGTGTAAGGACACACAGCGGTGGCTCGGTGCTCTGTAGCTGCATTTAGTTGTGTGTGTGATGCCCTGCTAGCCGTTATGGATCCTCAGCAGCCGGTTTTTAGCCTGATGAAGCGGCTCTGCCCTTGTTTCAGCCTGCTGCCGCTGCCAGTGGGTATCTTCTCTCTCTATCCACTAATCACATTAAATAGGAATAATGTTTAGTTTTATCCATCTTTTCTTATAATATTTCTGTCTTTAAAGTAGTTTATTATAACTTGT